TCCTCATCCTCATCCTCATCCTCATCCTTCTCATCCTCCCCCTAGTATATTCCTTCTCCTCCTCCGCCTCCTCCTCATCATCATCAGCATCATCATCATCATCTTCATCATCATCCTCTGCCTTCTCCTCCTCCTCCACCTCCTCCTCCTCATCATCATCATCATTATCATCATCATCATCATCATCATCATCATCATCATCATCATCATCATCATCATCATCATCATCATCATCATCATCATCATCATCATCTTCCCTCTCATTATGAACAGCATCAGCGTCAGTATCATCAGCAGCAGCATCAGCATCAGCATCATCAGCATCATCATCAGCAGCATCATCGTCATCATCAGCAGCAGCATCAGCATCATCCTCATCATCAGCATCACCATCATCAGCATCATCAGCATCATCATCGTCATCATCAGCAGCAGCAGCATCATCCGCAGTATCATCCTCCTCCTCCTCATCGTCATCCTCATCCTCCCTCCCTCCCTCCCGCTCTCCCTCAATCCCTCCCTCCCTCCCGCTCGGCACACCCCTTTCACACTTCGTGGCCAGGGTAAGCATAGCTTATCTAAGGAATGGCGCGGCCGCCGTTTCTGGCGCGCCCGCCCTACGCTGGGATTCCTCCCCTGGCACGAGGGCCCCGCAGAAGAGGAGGAGAAGAAGGAGGAGAAGAGAGGAGGAGGAGGAGCAGGAGGAGGAGGAGGAGGAGGAGTAGGATCAGGAGGAGGAGGAGGAGGACGACGACGACGACGAAGAGGAGAATGGAGGAGGGAGGGGGGAGGAGGAGGGAGGGAGGGAGGGAGGGAGGGAGGGAAGAAGGAGAAGGAGGAGGAGGAGGAGGCGGAGGAGGAGGAGGAGGAGGAGGAGGAGGAGGAGCAACAGCAGCAGCAGCAGCGGATGAGGAGGTGGAGGAGGAGGAGAAGGGAGAGGATGAGAGGAGGAGAACGAGGAGGAGGAGGAGGACGACGAGGAGGAGGACGAGGAGAATGGAGGAGGGAGGGAAGATGAGGGAGGGAGGGAGGGAGGGAGGGAGGGAGGGAGGGAGGAAGGAGGAGGAGGAGGAGGAGCAGCAGCAGGAGGAGGAGGAGGGGGGTCGCGGAACTGCGTGCGAGCGCAGACATTCGGGTCGTATAGGTGCAGGGCCGCCATGCGCACGTTGCCACTGCGGCCATCGGTGAAGCTCCCCATGGGGCCACGAAAGGTTTGAGGGGTGCGCCGTAATGAGAGGCGAAACCACGTGCGAACGCAGCAATTGGGGCCGTCGGTGGAGCTCCCTATGGGGCCACGAAACGTCTGAGGCGTGCGCCTACAGGTGGGGGGGGGGAATTGCATGCAAACGCGGCCACTAGGGCCAGCGGTGGAGCTCCCCATGGGGGCCACGAAACGTGTGAGGGGTGCACCGGCATGGACGATGGAAACCGTATGCGAACGCGGCCACCAGGGCTTCCGATGGAGCTCCTCATAGGGCCACGAAACGTGGGAGGGGTCTGCCGAGACGGGGGGTGAAACTGCATGCGAACGCAGCCACGGGTGCCTTCGGTGGAGCTGGGCCAACGAAAAGTGTGAGGGGTGTGTCAGGGAAGGTGGAACAGCATGTGAACGCAGCCACTGGGGGTCTTGGGCGAACCGTGTGGGTGGTCCGCCGAAATTAAAGGCGGAACCACGTGCGAACGTAGCCACTGGGGCAGTCGATGGAGCTTCCTTTGGGGCCACGAAACGTATGAAGCGTGCGCCGACATGGGGGGCGGAATTGCATGCCAACGCGGCCAGTGGGGCCTTCGGTGGAGCTCCTTATTGAGCAACGAAGCTTTTCGGTGGAGCTCCTTATTGAGCAACGAAGCTTGTGAGGGGTATGCCATATTGGGGGTGGAACTGCATGCGAACTCAGCCACTAGTGCCTTCGGTGGAGCTCTCTATGGGTGCACGAAACGTGTGAGGCGTGTGCGGGAGGAGGGAGGGGGAGGTGGGGAGGAGGCAGAGGAAAAAAGAGGCGGACGCGGGGCGCTCTCTCTTCAAAACGAGGATCGCTACCACAGGATAGTGGGGCAAATTGTAAGCCAGCGTAGACCTCAATCAGTAAGTCCTTGCACTGTGGCTGTGTAAGCTGTGTGATGCCAGCTACGTGATTCAAGCTACGTGGTGCGGCATACGTGGTTTTACCAGAGGCGGCAACGCAACGGCAACGTGGCGAAACCTCGCCAGACCCACCCAACGCACGAGGCGGCAACGAAGCGGCAACGGGCGGCAACGTTGCGAAAGCGCCAGACCCACCCAGCGCACGAGGCGGCAACGAGGCGGCAACATGACGAAACCTCGCCACACCCTCCCAGCGAACGAGACGGCAACGAGGCGGCAACCGGCGACAACGTGGCGAAACATCGCCAGACCCACCCAGCGCACGAGGCGGCAACGAGGCCGCTTGCCGCTCCGCTTCAGCAGCCGCTGCCAGCTTGGTGCTGCAGCTGGCACGGCGGCGGGCACGTACGGCGCAGCTTGTGGGCGGCCTCCGGTTCGCGAGTTGGCCGGCCTGCGTGCCGCGACGAAAAGGTCGGTTTGCCGCGGCGGTCTGCGCGCCTCGGCGGAGATCGTTTTCGGCGTCCTGGCGCCGAGCTGGCGCCTCGACCCGCTGGCGGTGACAGTGCTCGCGCCGCTGTGGCAGACTGCCAAGGCCCTCCGACGCCGGCGGTTCCCTGGCGATCTCTGGAGGGAGGCCGCGGGCGCCATGGCTGCCGGGCACGGCCGGCGCTTTGGCCCGATCGCCGTCGCGATCCGCAGCATGGCTGAGCTGCACCTGGGCGTGGATGTTGAAGCCTGGATGGGCATCCCCGCCGCCCCAGACGGCTGGCGCCCAGCAGCCCGCGCCCTTCCTGATACGCGCGCGGTGTTGTTGGAAGCCTGGGGGCGGCGAGAGGCCCGCGAGGTCGCGCGGCGCCGGGCCGATTTCCAAAGTCTGGCGGGGGGGATAGACCGTTGGGCGACGCGCCAGCTCCTGGAGTCTGGAAGGCACCTGACGCCGCCAGCGCGCTACGGACGGTGATCTCCGGCAATGTGATCACGGACTCTGCCAGCATGCCCTCATTGCGGCGCCGCGGTGGAGGACCTCGAGCACCGACTGTGGCTCTGCCCGCGGTGGGAGACCACCCGCGCCGCGGCGTTGGCGCGCAGCGGCTTCACCCTGGCGGCCGCCCGCGCCTGCCTGCCAACCGAGGTCGCGCACACCGCGGTGCTGCCTCTGGACGCCCACCTGGAGGCCCTGGCGAGCGACGCCCAGCAGGCGTTCCAGCTGCCGCCGCTGCCAGACCCCGCCACGCCAGTGCTGCCGCAGGGGAGGGTCCGCGCTTGGACTGGCGGTTCTTGCCTGCACCCAGTCGACCCCCTGCTCGCTCGAGCGGGCTGGGGCGCGCGCCTCGAAGGCCTCCCCGTCGGGCGTCTCGACAGCCACGGCCCTGTGGACGGCCGCCAGACGGCGCAGCGCGCGGAGCTTTGGGCTGCCACGCGCGCGTGCAGCCTGGCCGGGGCGCCAGTGGACGTCGTCACCGACTCGCGATTCGTCGCGCGTGGGGCTGCTGCGGGCTCGCTTGGCGAAAGCTCACTTAACCCAGGCGGAGGCTGCCGATCGGGGCATCTCGGCGGAGGACTGGGCCGGGAACGACGCGGCGAACACTCTGGCTGGCGCTGGGGCAAAGGCCCGGCTCCCACCGCTGGCTTTCCTCCAGCAGCGCACGCGGCAGTTGGAGGCGTTCGCGGCGGTCCAGCGCGCGGCGGCCGCCGTGGAGCTGGCAGCCCTGAAGGCCAACCACGGCCGCGCCGGCCCAGCTGGGCCCAGAGTCCGGCGCCGCTGGGTGGCGCCAGGCCACTGCCGCAGACGAGCGCCGCGGGAGGGGGATGCGGCAGCAGTCGCCGCCGCCGCAGCGCCGCGGGCTCGGGCGCGGCCTGGGCCGCCAGCGGTTGCCGCGCCCCCCGTGCACCCCCGCCTTGGGCAGGCGGCCGCGGCGAGGGCGTTGTTTGAAGGCGACGCCTGGCAACCGCATGCGGCGGCGGTGCAGGGCCCAGCGTGGATCGCTTGCCTGAAGTGCGGGTGCTGGGCGCCGTGCTGGCGGCGGCTCGCGAGCCGGCCCTGCGGCGGCTGGGCTCCCGCGTTGCCGCCGCGGGCCGCCATGCTGCTCCGGCTGCCTGCGGAGCCCGCTGGCGGCCGCGACGCCGAGTGGCGCGCGGCCCTGCGGGCTCGTCTGCAAGAGCGGCCGGGCGCCCCTGACTAATTGGGTGGGCGCACGCCAGGGCCGCCCCGAGAGCGGCGGCGCGGCCGCTGTTGTTCCCCCTCTGCCTCCCGCCCCTCCTCCCCTTCTCTTTGTCCCCGCCTTGCCACCGGGCTCCTGCACGCTGGTAAAAGTGAGGCGTGTGCGGGAGGAGGGGGGGGGAGGTGGGGGGGAGGCAGAAGAAAGAAGAGGAGGACGCGCGGCGCTCTCTCTTCAAAACGAGGACCGCTACCACAGGATAGTTGGGCAAATTGTAAGCCAGCGTAGACCTCAATCAGTAAGTTCTTGCACTGTGGCTGCGTAAGCTGTGTGATGCCAGCTACGTGATTCAAGCTACGTGGTGCGGCATACGTGGTTTTACCAGAGGCGGCAACGCAACGGCAACGTGGCGAAACCTCGCCAAACCCACCCAACGCACGAGGCGGCAGCGAAACAGCAACGTGGCGAAACCTCGCCAGACCCACCCAACGCACGAGGCGGCAACGGGCGGCAACGTGGCGAAATCGCCAGACCCACCCAGCGCACGAGGCGGCAACGAGGCGGCAACGTGGCGAAACTTCGCCAGACCCACCCAGCGAGAGAGACGGCAACGAGCCGGCAACGGGCGGCAACG